GTATTTTTGTTGACTTTATTCAAGATCAGTTGATTGTAGTATGTGGCTTTATTTCTGTGTTCTCTCTTCTGTTCCATTGATCTGTTTATTCTTGTACCAGTACCATGCCATTTTAGTTACTAGAGCCATGTAGTATAATTTGAAGTTAGGTAGCGTGATGCCTCTGCATTTGTTCTTTTTCCTTAGAATTGCTTTGATTATTCAGGCTTTTTTTTTTTTTTTTTGGTTTCATACACACTTTAGGATTTCCTTTCTTCCCCCTCCCCCCGTGCAGGGATACAATCATGACCTACCACAGCCTCAATCTCCTTATGCTCTGGTGATCCTTCCAGCTCAGCCTCCCAAGTCGCTGGGACTACAGGCGTGTACCGCCATGCCTGGCTTTTATTTTATTTTTATTTTTATTTTTTGTGGAGACAAGGTCTCACTTCGTTGCCCAGGCTGGTCTCGAACTCCTAGGCTCAAGCGAACCTTCCATCTCTGCCTACCAAAGTGCTGGAATTACAGGCATGAGCCATTGAGCCCAGCTAGGATTCTTTTTCTAGTTCTGTGAAAAAAGTTTTGTTGGTTTTTTGATAGGGATTGCACTGGGTCTGTGCTTCAGGCAGTATGGTCATTTTAACAATATTGATTCTTCTGATCCATGAGCGTGGGATATTCTTCCATTTATTTGTGTCAACTGTGATTTCTTTCATCAGTGTTTTGTAGTTCTCCTATATCCTTGTTAGGTGTATTCTTAGGTATTTTATTCATTTATTTATTGTGGCTATTGTAAATGGGATGGAGCTCTTGATTTGGTTCTCGACTTGAGCACCATTTGCACTACTGATTGTTGTACAGATTGTTGTACATTGATTTTGTGTCCTGAAGCATTATTGAACCCATATATCAGGTCTGAGAGTCTCTTGGAGGAGTTTTTAGGGTTTTCTAGGTATACAGTTATGCCATCAGTGAACAGAGATAGTTTGACTTTTTTCTTGCTGATTTGGATGCATTTTATTTATTTCTCTTCTTGATTGCTCTGGCTAAGACTTCTAGAATGATGTTGAATAAGAGTGGTTCCTCCATTGTTTATTAATCTTGTTTCCCTATCTCTTTTTGTGTTAGATGTGATGTTGTATTTCATTTTGTTTTGTTTCCACTTTTTTTATGCTGCCAGAATTGCTTTTTTTCTGACTGAGTCAGTACTCAGATTTATTTTGCATAAAGATTTCCCTTAGTGCTTTGGAAGTCTTCTGAGCTCTTTAAATCTTTAGAAAGGCTTGGTGTGGTGGCTCATGCCTGTAATCTCAGCACTCTGGGAGGCCTAGTTGAAAGGATTGCTTGAGCCAGGAGTTTGAGACCAGCCTTGGCAATATATCAAGACCCCGTCTCTATAAATAAATAAGTAAATAAACAAACAGACAAACAAATAAAACTTTTTAAATATGTTGAACTGTTTTGAAGCTTAATGTAGTGTTGTTGTTTTTTTTAAATTTTTCAACTCATGCCATACCAGCCAAGATTTTGTGGCATCTTCCTTTCTGCAGCTTCAATTACAGAATAATAGGTAGGTCTATGTGTTTGTTTTTCAGGTATGAAATTATTTGTAGTATTAACTGTTTCTTTTCACACTTAACACTGTCCCTCCCTGCTATTTCCCCCTTCCCCATCTTTGATCAGTGGAATCTATTGTCCTCCTTAAGAATCACTGGACTGAAAAAAGGTAGAAGTAGAGGTTCATGCATTCATTCGATAAATACTATTGAACACTAAGCCAGGAAAAAGCCTGACCCTAACAGAACCTACAGTCTTGTGAGAGAGTCAGATAATAAACAAGTAAACAAATACATAAATAATTAGAGATTGTAATTGGCGACATGAAGGAAGTCAAATAAAAGTATGTGATGGCATGTGAAATGCTGTTTCACTTCTGAAATAATTCAAGGACCTGGATCATGCTTGATTTGTGGTTACAGGATGACTCTTTGATCACTCCTGAAGTCACATACCTTTGTCAGTGACACACTGACACACACCTTTGTCAATGACATGGCTCCATTAGCATTTTGTCTTCAGCAAGTTTTGTTTCCAGAAAGGAAACTGAGTGGGACCTGATGGAGTGCGCTTTCAGGTGCATCAGACAGTCTCTAGATGGCAATAAGAACGAAACTGCCGGAGAGTCTCGCCATTGTCCATCGCCCTTTGATTTCCAAGAGGAAAGTTGCACTTCCTGATTGAGCATGTGTTGCTTTCTGGGCGCACCAAGAGTAGGAGCTGCTGCTCGGCTTCCAGGAACCAGCAGCACCGTGTGCTGGGGCAAGCGCCTTGCCTGGCCTGGACGCCCACTTTCTCCCAGCTCCACGCCCATGGCTGCGTAACTTCGATCTTGCCAGGACCCGCTTTCTTGGCTGCAAGATGGGGACAGTGATACTGACCCATGTACCTTACAGGGTTGTTATGAAAAATCAAGGGGTACAGCTATTATGGATAATAAAATTAAAATTTTTTGTCAGGTGTCGTGGCTCATGCCTGTCATCCCAGCACTTTGGGAGCTGGAAGCGAGAGGATTGCCAGAGCCCAGGGGTTTGAGACCAGCCTGGGTAATGTGGCAAGACCTCGTCTCCACAATAAATCAAAAAATTAGCCGGGTATGGTGGCGTATGCCTATAGATCCAGTGACTTGGAAGGCTGAGGCAGAAGGATCCCCTGAGTATAGCAGGCCAAGGCTGCAGTGGCCATGAGTGTGCCTCAGCACTCCAGCCTGGGTGACAGAGTGAGACTCAATTCAAAAAAAAAAAAAAAATTAAAATTTTTTAAAAAGGTAAATCTAGAAAAAAAATGAGTTGCATATGCAAATGCATTTTGCTTTTCATTTATTTCTTGTTGTTTTTTAGTCCGAGTCTCTCTCTCTGTCGCCCGGGCTGGAGTGCAGTGGCATACTCACGGCCACCGCAGCCTCAACCTGCTGGGCTCAGGTGATCCTTCCGCCTCAGCCTTCCAAGTAACTGGAAGTACAGGAGCGTGCCACCACACCCGGATAATTTTTTTATTTATCGTAGAGACGAGGTCTTACCATATTGCCCAGACTGGTCTCCAACCCCTGGACTCAAGCAGTCCTCTTACCTCTGCCTCCCAAAGTGCTAGGATTACAGGTGTGAGCCACCATGCCTGGCACAAAAGCATTTTGAAGACAACAGAGCATTATATAGATGTAAGGCCATAATAACAATCACCTTATTGCTATATCAATAAAAATTTCTGAAACTGCAGTGACTGATACCATGATTAAGTCTTGATTTGGGATAAGCAGACTTCCACCGTCTATCACATCAATAGGACAGGAAATGAATTATATAGCTGTGGCCACTTAACCCTAAAGCAGATTGGCATTTTACTGAAATTGCAGTGTTTACTTTCAAAACTAGACCATCTCTGGGAAACAGTGATTTAAGTCGATATTAGGTGCCCGATGGCGATTGATAATGGGGAATATCAGAGCTTGCTTTACCAGAGGAGGCCAGCAGTGGTTACACTTTTATTTTCATGCCCAGAACACAAAAAGCGCTCTGGGGGCCTTTCTGGACCACCAGGTATCTACTCTCCTGTGTAAACATTAGTGCGGCAGTGTCCTTAGGATTTTTTGTTTCTTTCCTTCATTCGTTCTTTTCTTAACGTTTGGAGAAGCAATTGTTCATGAATCCAGTTAAACTAGACAACTTAAATAAGAAAATATTTGTCAAAGTGCCCAGCAGATAGTACCTGACACACACCAGCCACTTCAGGGTCTCTTTGGAGAATCAAAACTAAGAACGTATAAACTACTCTTACAACAGCTTTTGAAAACAAATTTCATTTTTAAAAAAAAAATAAAAAGAACATGAGTTCCAGGAGGTCAATAGGTACAGTAGTGTGTGTGTGTGTGTGTGTGTGTGTGTGTGTGTGTGTGTATGTATAGAATACGAATACCATTCGTGCTGTCCTGTCTTTACCTCTGGAGAAAGTTGAGTCTTCTTTTAAGTCTACAGAAGTCAATGTCTAGTTTATATAACTGTTGTTCAGACTTCCAATATAGTAGGTGGCTTATGATTTCTAGAACAATTCAGAACTGAAGGGAAAAAGAGCTTTTAGATTTCTCTTTTTTTATTGGGTTCTTTGTTTTGTATCAGATTCTTCATTCTGTAGAAAAGTCGCTTTTTTAAGACAAACTTTAGGCAGTTTGCTGACTACAAGAAAAAGTTGTAGAGAAGAAAATTCTGTTACATGAATCCCTTCATGTTTCAACCTGTGGCTCACTGAAGGTTTTGCCTACACTCAGTCTTTGTTGATTTTGTTGGTTGTGCTGTGTTCCTTCTGCCTCAGTAGATTTTGTGCTGATTCTAGTGAGTTGTTAGTTTAAAATGTGTGTTTTATTTCTTCCATTGCACCTAAATGATGATCTAAACCCAGTAGCATTCTATGTTGAATGGCATACTTGTTCCGTAAAAGCACATACTCTTCTTTTTTTGAAGGTTCTTATTGTTTTTTGTTTTTTGATTTGGAGTCTCACTCTATCACACAGGCTGGAGTACAGTGGCACAATCATGGCTTACTGCAGCCTTGATCTCCTGGGCTCAGGCAATCCTCCCACCTCAACCTCCCAAGTAACTGGGGACTATGAGTATGTGCCACCATGCCTGGCTAAATTTTTAAAATTTTTTATAGAGACATGGTCTTGCTATGTTGCCCAGGCTGGTCTCAAACTCTTGGGCTCAAACAGTCCTCCCACCTTGGCCTCCCAAAGTGCTAGGATTATAGGCATGAGCCACTGCACCCAAGCTGTCATTTTATTTTTTTAACCAGTAATTTTAAAAACCCGTTTTGTGAGTTATTGGATTGATGGACTTGGCCACAGCCGGCCTTTGGCTGTTGTCTCTGTGTATGGTACCATAGTTTGCTGTGTGGAAGTGATTGCATGCTGACTGTTTTGTGTCTGAGAGCCTGGGATTAACCTGCCTGCCCCCATTCAATTTCCTTTCTAGGTCCACCTGGCCCACCTTCAACTCTCCCTCTAAGCACCCAGACCTCTAGTGGCAGCTCCACCCTATCCAAGAAGAGGCCTCCTCCCCCACCACCCGGACACAAGAGAACTCTGTCCGACCCTCCCAGCCCACTACCTCATGGGCCCCCAAACAAAGGCGCAGTTCCTTGGGGTAAGTTATCCTAAAGTCAGGACCAAAGCTGACCAGGGCCAGGCAGTGTGTGGGGCCCCACTGGGAAGTGGGCTATTATCACATTCACAAAGCGTAACCAAATGCATGCGTGCTGAATGAGGACTCCAACACATGTGAATATGATTACATCTGCCTCTTAAGGCCAAGAAACATTTCGAAAAAGTTTATTTAGGGGCTGGGCGTAGTGGTTCATGCCTATAATCCTAGTAATTTGGGAGGCCAAAGCAAGAGAATTACTTGAGGCCAGGAGCTCAAGACCAGCCTGGGCACCATAGCAAGACCCTGTCTCTACAAAATTTTTTTTTAAAAATTAGACAGCTGTGGTGTTGCACACCTATTGTCCCAGCTACTCAGGAGGCTGAGGCAGGAGGATTGTTTGAGCCCAGAAGTTTGAGGCTTCAGTGAGCTATGATCACACCACTGCACTCCAGCCAGGGTGACAGAGCAAGACCCTGTCTCAAAAAAAAAATTAGGACCATTGAAAACTGTTAATTGTAATAAAGCCTAGTAATAAGGTTCTGAGCATTTGCTGTCTCTCATTTAGTCATACCTCTGTAAGGTTGGCATTGTTAGTCACATTTATGGGGAGAAAACAAAGGCAGGGAAAAGCAAAGGAACCCAGGCACAGTGACTCACATGTGTAATCCCACCACTTTGGGAGGCCAAGATGGGAGGATTGCTTGAGTCCGGGAGGAGTTCAAGACCAGCCTAGGAAACACAGCAAGACCTCATCTCTACAAACATACAAAACAATTAGCCAGGAGTGGTGACACACACCTGTAGTCCCAGCTATTTGGGAGGATTGCCTTGAGCCAAACAGGTCAAGGCTGTGGTGAGCCACGATCATGCCACTGCACTTCAGCCTAGGCAACACAGAGAGACTATGACTCAAAAAGAAAAGAGAGTCCACTGTCCTCACAACAGCCAGAATAGTTTTCTTACAAAATATACATCAGAGCTGGCGAGGTGACTCAAGCCTGTCATCCCAGCACTTTGGGAGGCCAAGACGAGAGGATTGCCTGAGCCCGCGGGTTTGAGACCACCCTGGGCAACATGGTGAGACCTTGTCTCTACGGTAAATCAAAAATTTAACTGGGCATGGTAGCGCACACCTGTAGTTTTGGCCTCTTGGAAGGCCGAGGCAGAAGGATCGCCGGAGCCTGGAAGGTCGACGTGGGGGTGAGTGGCTGTGAGCGTGCCCCTGCACTCCAGCCTGGGCCACGGAGTGAGACTGTGACTCTAATATAAATATCTATAAGGCAGAGCATGGCTGCTCTTCTTCTCAACACCTTTTAAAGGTGTCCTTCTAGGCTCCAGGTAGATGCAAGTTCCAAGGGCCTGCGGACCCTGCGTGATCGGACTTATCTCCCTGCCCCGTCATGCCACGCTGCTCTCACCACCAGCTTTCTTTGACTTCTAGGACACACCGTCTCTGCCTGTGGAGGGCCCTTCTACTCCCTGGATCTCTGTCAGACTCTCTGAAAGGCAACTCCCTTTCATCTCCAATCTCAGCTTGCACATTTGTTTCCCTGATCTCCTCTCTGAAGAAGCTTCCTTCCGAGCCACATCCTCCCAAGCCTTTTGCAGTTGAGAACATCTGATGTCTGTGTGTCTTTGCCCCGCTAGGGTGTGAGCTCTCTGAGAGCTGGGACCTCGTCAGCCCTGTTCTTGCCTGTGTCTACTGGAATTATGCCTGGCACAAGCGAATCTTCAGTCATCATATGAGAATAAATGAGTTTACCCAGAGTCAGCTAGTTTAATCACATCAGTGTTCTTGACGGCAAAGTTGCTGTTTCAAAAGACATATTCTGGCCAGGTGTGGTAGGTCAAGCCTATAATCCCAGCACTTTGGGAGGCGAGAGGATTGCCTGAGCCCGTGGGTGCAAGACCAGCCTGGGCAACGTGGTGAGATTTTGTCTCTACAATAAGTCAAAAAATTAACCGGGCATGGTAGAATGCACCTGTAGTTCCAGCTACTTTAAAGGCTGGGGTAGAAGGATCACCTGAGCCCAGCAGGTTGAGACTGTGGTGGCTGAGAGCATGCCACTGCACTCCAGCCTGGGCAACAGAGTGAGACTCCAACTCAAAAAAAAAAAAAAAGATATATTCCATCTTTTCCACTAGACTGCTAGCGATTTAGAGGTCACCCCATTGCCCAGCAGGGTCCTGACCCATGTCTGGAGCAAAGAGAAGCTTTTACTGAACAAGTGTGTTATTTTGTGTGTCTTACTTCCTGCCATTGAGTTTCATTGTGTTTTTTTTCCTTTTCATTTTTTAATTGTGCTTGTCAGGATGATAGGTAATTTAGCTTAAGCTGCTAAATGCCTCCTCAGAAGTCTGTCACATGTTCCGAATGTTTGGAGTTTGGGGTACAGCCCCCAAACTCCAGTGTACTTGCAGCTTAGTACCCCTGTCTGTCATTGGGCCCTGATGTGGACACATCTGTGTATTTAGCCTTTTGTTCTCTTGACTCTGCTTGCTCTTGAGGGCACTTACTATGCCCGTTGTACTGGGGCCTCCTCAGTCGATATGCTCATGGAGTTCATGGTCTAATGAGGGACGTATATGGGGAAACAGAATTTATTGTCAGGATAAATGTGTTACCTGAATACCGTGGAAATGCTGGAAAATGGAGTATCATACTTTATGAGAAACCAGAGAAGGTTTACAGAGGAGGACACATCTGGGATGGTCTCAACAAGTTAGTTCCCACAAGCCAAGCAGCAACAGTCAGGCTTGCAGGCATAGCCACAGAAATGCTAAGGGTGGTGTCCTTGACTTCTTCAGAGGCTGCGTCCCAAGAACTTCCAGACCCCCAGATCATACCAGAAAGAGCTTTTCCTTAAACTGCATTCCACTGAGAGTTCCAGGCTTCCTATGCAGACTTCATACCACAAGTCACAAATGAATCTTCTTTCCAAATTTCTCTAAATTTTAATCCTCTCATTTAATTGATTTTATTTCTGTGTAAAGTTTATAGCGTTTGTGTTCACATTATATATTCTCAGACTTTCAAATAATTTTAGCAAACTTCTGTTTTCTGGCTTGAATCCCCTTTTTTGTTTCCTTTCACATCACTAAAGAGCAGGACTTGCTGCTGGCCTTTTTTCCCTTAGTGTTTTCACTAAGAAATAAAGATCTGTGTTCATTTCATAAAAGCACCTGACAGCAAGCTGGGAGGGTCAGAACCTTTCTTAGATGGGCTCTTTTCCATCTGCCAGTTTCTTACCAGCTAAGAGCCTCTCACCTACAACCAGCCTGTAAGGACAGAAACAAATCTATCCTTGACAAAAGTGAGACTTCACCTATCATGGACTTTGGGTGACCACTCACAAACCGCGCCAAATGTTAATTCTGAAATTTTCAAGGCTGTTCCTTGTACGTGAGCGTGCATGCATACACATGAGATCCACTAACTTCAGACACAGGCCAGTAACCGGCACGTGTGGGCACATGCACACACAGCTGGACTTCTCATTAGCAGGTTAAAGTTGCTCTGATCCTGGTGTTTATACTAGGCTGTGTTATAACTGCTTGGCTTTATCCCTCCCTGCCTTCGGCTGACATTGTATGCCAGATACCAGACACAAGGCCAGACTGGTTATAGTGAGGCACACAGGGGATCAACCCCAGGCAACATTGCCCTCTGATGCCTGCAGCTTCCCTCTGTAGACCCGACTTCCCAGTATTCTCATGTTCCCTTAAACCGCCCACCCCTCTTCAGTCCATGAGGATGAGGCCCTTTGAACTGTCAGAGTCAGGACCAGGGGTTGGATATCAGGCACGGGTGGTGAAGGACTAGCCCACTTCACTCTCCGCAGGCCTCGCCTATCCACCCACAACAGAAAGTCTGCCATATCGAGGCACAGCAGGTTCCCCAAAATTCTATTCCTTCTCAGATCTCAGCTTTTGCTTATAGTACATCCTCAACATAGAGTATTCTTCCCTTTGTGTTGCTGCTTGGTCGTCTTCCAGGGTCGGCTCTCCTGGGCCCTGCTTAAAGGCCTTACCCAGTTCAGCCACCACCCCCCACTCCCACTCTTTGTCTCCTCTGACAGGGACACTTCAGTGGCTCTGTTTTCTCGCCTGTCTGTACATGACATGTCTGTGCATGAACTCCCTGTGAGGGCACGTGCTGTTTCTCTCAGCAGAACAGAGTGCTCTGAAGTGTGGACTCCACTGTATACTGACTGGATTCTAATGCCATCTCTACCATTTGGTAAGCCTGTGTCTTTCAGCAAGTGTCTGAATTGTTCAGTGCCTCAGTCTCTCCAACTATAAATGGGGCTAGTAATAGCACCTGTTTTATACGTGGAGTTATCATGAAGATTAAATGAGACAGACACATAAAGAACAGGTCCCAGAACATGAAAGCACTCAGAAACTGTTAGGTGCTGTTGCCATTATTCTCAGTCTCATTTTGCTGGATGGTTAGATGGTACAGACTGTATTCATCCTGAGACTGTCATAACATAAACCACACACTCGATGTCTTAAAACAATAAATTTATTCTCTCCGTTGTAGAGGCTACAAGTCCCAAAATCCACCAGGGCCTCACTACCTCTAGAGGGTCTGCAGGAAGAATCTGTTCCTTACCTCTCAGCTTCTGGTGGCTCCAGGCAATCCTTGACTGTGGCTGCAACACTTCAGCTCTGCCTCCATGGGTATCTTGCTGCCGAACCTCTGTGCTCTCAAAACTGCCTTTGCCTCGCTCTTATAAGGCTACACGTGATTGTATTTAGGGCCCATGTGAATTTCCTATGAAATCTCTTCATCTCAAGATCTTTAATTACATTTGCAGAAAATCACTGTATCCCTTTTTCCTAATAAGGTCATATTTAAAAATTCCAGGGATTAGGATTTGATGTCTTGGGGTGCCATTTTTCAGCCTACCATAGCTTGCCCTCTGGCCCCTAGAGATTCATGTTCCACACATGCAAAATATATTCACCCCATCCCAATATCCCCCAAGGTCCCC